TTGACCTAATCATTCTCCACCCCTGCAGCGCTGGCTCGTAACCTGAAATACCAATGTTATTTATCCCATAATGAGATGTTGACATTTACAGATAAATTGAAGGAAGAGTATCAACAGCAATCCTGTGTGAATACGTTGTAGTTTAAAAAGAAACGGTGAGCAATGAACAACAGAGGGAGGGTAGCACTGTACATAAAGTAATTTAAAAAGCCCTGAACACAACGTGCACTGACTCATTTGGTCTGTTCTGACAACAACAAAAAAATCCTAATAAGAGAGAATAATTAAATTACTCAAATATAATCTTCTGTATGGGCTGTTTCTGAACAGAAGCTGTACTTTTCTGTGTTTTCATGCTCGAGCAGGTGAAGTTAAAATATCCATAATCCAAAAAAAAGAGGCCTTGACAAAACCCTTGCTCGAGATGGGGAGCCTTTGCTCTGACTTTGTTTTTTATCAGCGATAGTTACCTGCTTAAAGCTCGGGATCACGCGGTGATGGGAAGGAACACAATGAAGACCCCCTGATCCCAAATGTCACAGAATCCAAGAGGAAGACGTGTCAGCGGGCTCATTGGAAGTCTTACTGAGGCTGTTGAGAAACAGCAGCAGCATCGGTGCGTGGGCTGCTGGAGTCATCTAAACTGAGGCGGAAGCTGTGTTTGCATCTCAAGCAGTGATTTAGCAGCGTTCCTGTTGAAGGTTAGGCATTGTCAACAGCTCTGTTTGTTTATTGAGGAACACAATCCTGGGATAGAAGAGATTTTGCACCCAATATTTTTTTCATTTTTACTCATGCAGTCTTTATATTTTGAGAGCTCCCTGCAAAAAGTCACACAACTGTTCTTTGCACTTTTGGCACACCGAGAAGAAAATTACATCTTTACTTTTTGTTTTATGTTTGCGTGTTAGTGAAGGAAAAATAAGTCAAATACATCCTCCTTATTGTATAAAATACAAACACATTAAAGCATCAATGAGGAATGACCATTTCTGTCAATCTTGCCAGCCCCTTTTCTGATCATTCCCAAAGTGATGGACGTAGTGTTCTCTCAAGCTTTCTTTTACTCTGCTAGTCCTTCACTTGCCGTGAAGCTTTGTCAGGAAAGATTTTAACAAAGGCTCCTTTAGTCCATGTGCGGCAAATTGCTTCATGTGATGCAGCCTGTGACGTTGCTGGTAAGCATAACAAAAAAACTCTGGCTGAAAGTCTAGTTTGATCAGTAGGTAGAGGTACATTAGTATAAAATAGAGACAGTTTCAAAAACGGCTCTCAGTGGGTCTAAGTATATTTAACTTTGGTTTGGTGAGTAATTCCCTCCACCAAAGATGTTAAGTATTTGATTCCTTTGTCTGTTTGTCAGCAGGATAACGGCCGGGTTTTAATGAAACTTGATGAAAGGCTGTAGTTCTAGCTAAGGAAGAAACCAATTAAATTATGGGCTAAATAGATGCAATTTAGGCATAAGCAATTTGACAGTATCTGGATCGTGCTCACTTTCCGAACAAGCAATAATATTAGAATATTGTGCCTGCAGGTTTGAATATTATAAAAGATTTGAACATTGGCCTTGGCGTGGGTCATCTCTTTCTGAATGCCCTCTCAATGTTTTTAAGGCAACTGCTTGCTTGATCATTTGTAGGCCGATTAATTAGCCGGCCGATAAAATCTGTTTGATAACAGCATTTGACTCAACTCAATAAATGTGTCTGTGTATATCTATATCGATTCGATCTAAAAAGATCTAAGAAAGATATCGGCAAATATATATATCTTTATCAAAAAATGTTTATCCCTAATATCGGTATCGGCCCCACAAATTCCATATCGGTCAGGCCCAGATCATTAGTAGCAACAAACCTGAAAATGAAATCAATCAAAAATGTTTTGTACTGTCATTTACCAGTGTGGAATCTGTGTTACAATTTTTAGCCGTCATTTCAGAGCATTTTTGTAACATTGCGTGGCATTTTCTTTCAGTTTCTTTCTATTTTTAGGGCCAATCTTCATATCATTAGATGGGAATGAACTGCATCCCCGGTTGCTTTATGCTAGTTCAGATCTTGTTTGTAAGATGTTCTTCCTGACCACATCTTAAATCCAAAGTGTTTATAGGTCTACCAAGTGACAGCTAATGTTGTTGGATTTTCATTGACATGAAGACATTGAGAGCACTTGCTCTTAAAGTAATTGCAGTTTTCCGTGTACACTTTTATCTTCAAATATGAAGAATCAGGGAAAAACATTCACTCAAGATATCCACTAAAAGCTTGCTCTACAGGCCGTACTGTTAATTGGGGGTTTTGTCGTGTTGGAGGTGATGGAGTAACGACAGAAATATGCACTCTGCTAAATGCTGACAGTTGAAAATGGTCCATCTGTCCATCTCTGAATGCCCACAATGGCCTTCCCCTAAGACATGTGGCTTTTTGTGATCACTCTGATGTTCGGCACATTGAAGGGGTTGACGACTATCAGACAGCTTCAAACTTCAAATAGGATTATTCAAGGTTGCGGTTACGAGCTTCAAGAGTTCTTTTTATAGAGCTGTTCAAGGTTTTTTTTTTTGGTTTTTTTGAGTCTTACTTTGAGGAGGGGTCTTAAAGTCATCTTTACACTCATGCATCGTTCTCCTGGGAATACATCTCTGCCATAAGTAGAAGGTTGTTGTAAGTGACTATAGAGGTTCAGACAGACTTGACTGACTTCTTTGTAGACCTGTGAATCTGTTTGTGGAACTTTCCTTACTCAAACAACAAACAACTCGATTTGGTGACACCAACCTGACCCTTATTATATATGCAACTACTTTTAGAGAAGGGTGGTTTACATTGCTTTTATAAGGCCTGATCTCAAAGCTTGTCTGTTGGTCTAAGTTATTATCTAAGCCCTTGCTATTGGCAAAAAACTGTAGAACCCATTCCCCGCTAGTAGTGATTTTATACCTTTGAGTTTTTCTGTTAACGTCTACTTGCACCTCTCACGCTCAAGAGACAGTCCTTGGATAAGAGCTGTTTTGAGCCCAGATAGCATGTTTACCCTGTGTCCCATTTTGACCACATAGTTTGCAGTTTGGGTCCTCTCTCAGTCCCCATGTGTGCACGAGTGACAGAATAGGAAGGGTGTTGTACACAGAGTTTAGGAGGGAGGACATTTTGGAGGGGCTCCAGTCTCCACAGCTCTGCCCACGAGATCTAGCGCTAGGGAATTTTCTATCTTGTCCATGTGCCCTGGGATCCTTGTTCCAGTGCTCTAGCCATCCACATCTCCTCCTCCTGGCCAGTACCTCAACCTGGAGCATGTCTTCCCTGTTCCTTAGATCTGCATTTCCCCACTGCTGGAAGTGTGCAGAGCCAATACCTTGCCGCCCAGGGGTTACCTAGGATGTCTCAGTGTATTCCCATAATTTATTAGCCTCCTCAAACATCTAATGATATACTTCTTCAACTTGTTTCAGATCATCTTGACAATAGCATAAAACAAGAGTGCAGGTGCTATTACTTTATAATGTTAGCCAAAGATAGCAAAGACTTTTCCCATGGTCAATTTAAGACTGTATGTCTAATATTTCTAAATGATGTTAATCAAATAGGCCTACTGATATGTGAAAGGAGATTCATGCTAATAGTCAGTGTCTCTTTGGCAGACTCAGGACCCAAGCAGAGCTGGAGCTAATATTAGCTTAACGTTTAGCATTTATACCTGCTTAGCATGTTTCAAGGTTAGGATTCCTCAGTGTACAGGGTCAGGTCATATATATATATATATATATATATATATATATCCATACAGGGTTAATAGCACACATTCATTTGATATAAAGACAATAATTCTTGTATCTGTTTTTCACACTCGTATCAAAGTCGTACACAGTAAATTTGAATACAGAAGTCCATTTCGATAACAGGAACAACAAAATGGTCTGGTATTCTGTTTGCTGATTCTTACTATGACACGTTGCAGTTGAAAATATTTGAACTTTAATATCCACATGTCATGTGATAGAGATAGGTCATTGAGGACTTTCACAAAAAACATCTATGTCAACCTTGTCATCTGTGCTTCTTTTCTTCATAAGGGCAGAAATGGATGAAAAGAAGCACAGCTTGAAAATTGGGTCTGGCTTTCACTTAACAAAGAATCCTCTTAGAGCTAGTCAAATGGCGGTAGGAATATTGGATTCTTCAGTACCCAGAGCAACACACCTGACGTCATCATCATTTGAGAGAAGACGGCAAACAAATAGTACAGGTCATCCACTTGGGCTGAAGTAGTTTGACATAAAGCATCCCTGTGCCGTGCATTAAAGCAAAAATATCAAAATAGGCCTACCTTTTAATGCAATGTCTCCAAATGAAAGAATGTAAGTAAAACTGGCAGATTCATCTGGAGCATCCTCGTACTTTCATGAAATCAAAACACTCTTTGATATACACGTAGTGTTTTGTATGTGAGATGAGCTGGCAATAGCTGGAGGTTTAGAATTGAAAATTGCAAGTTTGATCAATTAGTCAGCAAATCACAGCGACATTGCACTAAGTGCCACCATTTCAAATCCATGCAAATCACGAGGGGATTTTGTCACATGATTAATTCATGCATAAATGGCGCATGTTTTGATCTTTTGATCTGATTTCGGTTGTTTGTCCAATAAACACTGTGGATTTGCTTGTTTTGTATGTGTGTGTGCTGTATGTATCAGCAAAGGCATGATGGGGAAATGTGCATAATTTATGTTTCATATATTTGCATATTTTAGTGGTATGTCATATCAGATATTTAAATATTATATTAAATAACATGAAGAGCATTTAATATATCAAATCACAGCCACGTACAAATTTAAAATGAATCAGTTTTGCTTGTTATCTCTGAAAAGGAAATGTGAAGTATCAGCCTCACACGCTGAGTGAAAGACTCCTTTAAGCCCAAAGCCCTCAGGTTATTCTTTATTAAGTCTGACACTTAAATATTAACGTTTTTTCTTCTCTGTCTAACAGCTACATTCAGATGTGGACAAAGGAGACGGCAAGGTGAAATATGTGCTCTCTGGCGAGGGCGCCACCTCCATCTTCACCATTGATGAGAACACAGGAGACATCCACGCCACGAAGCGCTTGATCGGGAGGCTCAACCCTACTACACCCTCCAAGCTCAAGCTGTAGACCGAATCACCAATATACCCGTCGAGCCCAGGTCTGAATTTGTGGTCAAGGTCCAGGACATCAATGATAATGAGCCAAAGTTTCTGGATGGACCGTACCTGGCAGGAGTACCCGAGATGTCACCCTTAGGTAAGCTTCCCCATTTGTCTTAGAGATAATCCCATAACAGTTCCTTTTGTTCTTTATTATATTTCTCCCCCCTGTTCCATCCTTTTCTCTCTAAATCTCACTTTAGCTTTGACTCACTCTCGCTCCAAAAATCTGCATTTGATAATTTTCTACCTCAGTGAATTTGTCTTCATCTCTTTCAGTCTCTAGGTCATTTCAGGGATCAGGAAGTTTTTTTAATATTAATTTGGATCCAGCATGTTTGCTTTGACGGACTCAACACCTGCTAATCACTAATTTAAACTACCCCGAGTTCTTGTACATCAGTGGAGGTCCAAGTTAAATCTCTTGGATGTTGGCAATCCTTAGTAAGAGCATGCTGATTTATTGGCTTCTTTATTACTTTACCCGCAAAAAACTATATGCTAATAAATAGCAGTGTGGACTTTGCTCCTCGTGATGTCCTTGAGCTTTTACATTCCTCGATTTCGTTTTTGAAAGCACGATGATGTTCAAAGATGCCCTTGGAAGTTTTAGACAAGGCCAGGCAATTTATCACTGAAGCACATTCATAAATTTAAAGACCTTCACTGAAACATCGAGAGAAAAACAAAACAGGCAAAAAAAAATCAAAGGAGCTGAAAATCAGGAGCCAAAAAACAGAATATAAAAATATCAAATTTTTCACCTTTTTTAAATTTAAAGTGACATATGAAAGCTTTATTCCAGGTGCAGTGCACAGTAACTGAAAGCTCTGCCGTGTTTTACATACTTTACTTTCTTTGCTTTGCATTGTTATGCTAATCTTTGCCATGTTAGCCCGCTAGTTAGCAGTTCAGACAAGGTCAGCTGAGGCTGATGGAAATGTCAAAAGTTAGAAGAGTACCAACATTATTATCATTCATTCTCTGGGGAACAGGAATGTCTGCACAAAAAGTCATAACAATCGATCCAAAAGTTTTTTAAGATATTCAGTCTGAAACTAAAACTTGTAAAGAAGTGATGAACTGCTAACACGGCGTACAAACATCTTACAGCTGGATTCATCTCAGCAATTACTGCAGATATTTCTTTTATCTGTCTGTTTTGAATACAGTCCTAGGGGAATCCGTAATGTCAGACCTCTGTCTGTTTTTGCTGCATGGTCAAGATTTCCTCCAAGGTTTTGAACGGGTCATGCTCACGCTCAAAATGCAAGTAAATGCAAATGAGCCACAACAACATCCGGAGGCTTTTTTTTTTTTTTTTTTTTTTTTCTTTGACTGAGAAGGTGTATGAGAAAGCAGCTAGAGCGAGACAGAGAGACATCCATATTGATAAGCCATGATCTATGTGACCTTTATATGAAACATAGCACTTAATATGATGTATATCAAAGCTGCTTTTGGTTATTTTCTTGCATTTTGTTTTTTCCCTTCTTTGTATTTTCCAGTTTAGCCTTAAAGCTACTGAAACCATACATTTTGGTCAACAAGAAATGGGTGGTGCTGTACTTTAAAAGCAGTCAATTTGCTATTTCATGGTGTTTTTAAGTCAGACTAAGCGTAGCGTAATGTGAAGTCTGATGTGCCTTAATTTGCATATTTATCAACTCACATATGCCAGCACAGACCTTAAGGCTCAGAAATGTTGATGAGTGACGCAAAACTGACTCAAGCAAAGTTAAGGTCTGAATCAGGCATGAGGGCCATGGGCATGTTTTCCATAAATTGGGCTCAGAGTTCATATTAGCTGGCACTTACTGGTACCTACTCTGCTGAAAATGTCTCTGAAAAATGTCGGACCCAGACAAATACATTTCTATCCATCCATTAAAAAGAGCAAACCATACATCCTCAACTTCCTCCAGCTCCTCCTAGGGGGATCTCCAGGCATCCCCAGGCATGCTGGGAGCTACTGCGTAATCATGAGAGAGCAATGACTGATGGATTGGAGACAGAAATGAATTTGGGTGTGAGCAGAAAGAAAACAATTATATGACCTATATATATTTATTTTTATAATACAAAGTAAAATGTTGAATATTACCATACATTTCTTTAAATAACTTTAATTTATGATTTTTTTTTGTAGATACAGGTATTTGGTACAGAAGGAGATGAACATTGCAGGCACTTCACTCCACAGTCTGAATAATAATCCATAAGCAGAATGGGACCTACCAATCAATCCTCTCAGAGTGTTGAAAAGATTAGAAGTAGATTATTGAGTGGACGGTCAGATTGTCAAGTGTCATCATGTTGAGAGAAAGAATCTTGGGAATTAAAGCTGAAAGAGAACAGTGCGAGGGAAGACAGGAAATTCAAAAGTGTCAGTAAGAATGGATGCTCATCGCTAGCTGGCTTGTTGACCTTTTGCCATAGCCTGTAACTGGCAGAATAAGTCGTGGTTCTCAAGTGTTTTGTTGATAGCAAATTTAAAGTAAAATAGGAATAACTAAAAAAAAATACAATTTGTCTAGTTGTTGGGTCAGAGCTAGCACATGAGCAATTGTTCATTTGTGAGTGGAAGGTAGGAGCTCTGTTCAGCTAAACAGGGTTTCAGGACCCTTTAGCTTACAATAACAGATTTGTTTGGCCACTTGGGGGCAGCAGAAACAAGCTGTGAACAACAGTGAAATATAATCTAGTTCGTATATACAGCAGATATTGGCAGTCTATCGAATCAGACATATGTTGGTTTGATATACCTTCTTTTTTTAGCTCAGTTTTGGTCCCCACCAGGTCCTTACATTAATGAAAGGGTATTTAGCTGCTAAATGCTCAACCTTGTTCACAGCATTCCCAGGCACGCTGGAATCTACTGTTTTATCACAAGGGAGCAACGACTGATAGCCTGGAGACAGAAACAAGCTGTGAACAACAGCGATGTATAATCTTGTTTGTATGTCCAGTAGGTATAGGCAGTTTATAGATTCTGGTGTATATCGGTCCAATGCTAAATGTGCTATGTTCACCTATGTGCTAACAGTGTCCGTCAGGTAGGAACTTTAAATGTCAGGGTTTCATTAGCATGTTGAATTGGAATCACTTCCTCAGACCAATAACAACGAGAAAGCTCTTCATATCAGCATCACCTCAGTAGCTCAAACATGCATCGCACCATAGGGATGGAAATGAGTGAAAACAAAGGTGTTTATGGCTTTCATAACCCTCAAAGTCAAAATTAAAATGTTAGCAGGCCTACAGTTGTGGTGGGGCTCGTTCTAAGGGAAGCAGTGCTTTGCTTACTACACAGGCAAAGAGATCTCTGAAGGATTACACAGCTGACTGTCAACGGGGGGTACAGAGCTCAGGCTTAAGGAACCAGGGGATTAGAGTACAAGGGCTGGGAGTCTTGTGTTCAACCCGAGATAAGACAGCAACTCGGCATATCACCCACAGAGGAGGATGCGTCCACACCACGAGCGCCTGGATGCAGGGTCACCCTCGCCACTTTATTTACTCAGCCGCCTCCTGTGAAGGTCTTCATCACGAGCTGAGAAAAGAACAGCAGAATAATGCGTCGCCTCTCTTTGTAAATATCTGCTCAAAGCAATTATCAATGCAGTAAAGAGCAGGGATGGGGCCAAGCACCTCTTGTCCTCAATAATTCCTTTATAGATGTCTTTAAATCATTAATGGTCACAGCTCAGCACTGTTGATTAATGGCTTCAATTTAGAGGAAATCATGAATTTAATTAATTAAAGTAATTAGGGGCAGGGCTCGTCCATACACATGGTGACCTTACGGCCCAGGGATCTCTAAAGGCTTTTGTCTTAATCAAGACGGGGATGTCAAATAAAAGACAAGAGAGCTTGAGGACAGTTGGAGGAGTGACAATCTCGTGGCTTGGCTCTTTCCTGCTGCTCAGCGAAGGGCCAAAGGAGCAGTTTGAGGGCTCATTACAAGCATAGAGAATGTAATGTCAACCCAAGGCCACAGCGCTTAAGAATTTACTGCTCACCAGCTCTATATCCAGCTGTCATTGTTCCTGTCTAATTCATGAGCCCAGATCAAGGATGGGATAGTCATTTCATTCTGGAGATGAAAAAGGTGTTCCGGTTTAGGGAAAGTCTATCCATGTTATTATTATTCTTTTTTATCACAGGCTGTATCATGCTGATTCCTTTTTGCATAGTGGGATTTAAATGTACACCCTAGGGCGTCTTTATTAGGCATCAGAACCATTGTTATAATCCAAGACTTTTGGTGACAGAGCCTTCGGTGCCTCAGCCCCCACTCTCTGGAACTCTCTCCCCCGCCGCAATCCGCAGTGCTGCATCTCTGGTCATTTTTAAAAAACCTCCTCAAACACCACCTGTTCACCAAAGCATTCAGCCTCATCTAACACTCCCCCCAGCTGATCACCCACTTCCTTTCTCCTTCATTTGTTTGTCTACTGTTCCTATCCTTTATCTTCTCTGCTTGTGTTTTTCTATTCATCTCTTGTTGGTTTCCCACCTTGAGAGAAAGTTTCCTTCATCTTTCATCTAAATTTAGATGACGCAAAATATATGACGCCTCAAACTTTATCCATAGATAATAAAAAGGCATTTGGGATCATTTCGACTGTTCATGTATTTTTTGCCAGTAGTTTTAATAATCAAAATAAAATTGAATAAATAAGATCTGTTATATACCTGCAGATACAAGTTTGAATTAGGGTTATTTTTTTAAATCTTTGTTAAACAAAATCTAATTCAAACCTTCCTCAATTGTAGATTACAATCACATTTAGAAACATCACAAATATGTATCTTAAGTACAGGTAAGAATACTTTTTTCTCAAAAAGAATCTAAAACTGTCAATATTCAAATTCTTAAACAAACTGAACTTTAATTGAAGTCATTTTGAAAGCAACATTTGTCTAAGAAAACAAAAACAAGCTGTAATTTGATAATGGAAAAGCTATGCAAAAATGTGAAATTGCAGTGAATGTATTTGCCTTTAAACTCGTCTCTTCTCTCAGGTGGTTTTTGCCGCTTGGCCCTTAAAAACCAGCAGTTATCGAACCATTTTCAAACAGAATAATCTAGGGGGCGCAGATGGCCTATAGTGGTAAGGTCGTGCACCATGTAACCCTCCAAGCAGGCGGCCCGAGTTCAAATCAGACCTGCAGCTTCTTTCCCACCTGTCATTCACCACTCTCTAACATAGCTGTTATGGCCATTCACAGTAGACACACTGAAATAATTTGTAACATTGACAAAATAACCATGTTGGAGCAAAAAAGTCACACATTTAGCAAAAGTCATGGCCGTTAAGTATATAGGTTTATTTTAATATTTTACAAATTATTATTATTATTATTATATACCAGTGACCTATCACTCAGTTTGACCTCAGTGGTTTTTAATGGCATCCACTGCATGATAAAATAAGATGTCAGTTGTCTTATGGTTTTTCATATGGTAAGATAAACCTGATGAAGTTCACACTGTCTGAACCATTGACTGTAAAAATGCTAAAAACACAAAGAAAACAGCAGGCAGAAAGAAACTTTGTTAAAAAGTGCTCTAATTCATTTTCTCTGAGCAGCTGAATTGATCTCTAAGCTATAATCCCTTGCTTATCTGAAACAGTGGGGAGCAGGTGTGATTGTGCATGAATATAATCAACTTAATCAACAGTGGTAGCTTTGAATACCCATGAAGGCGTTGCCAAATTACTGGGCTTGAACCGAACACTGTAATATTTTTAATTTTGTTTTTTTCATATTCCAAGTTGCAGATTTTGTATCCAATGGGTTCCCCTCTTGTTACATGTAAATATATATTTTATATTTTGTGCATAAAATGGCACTTCATTTAAAAACAAAATGCAACTTTTGTGTTTGTGTTTATACAAAGTCACATTTGGGGTCATTTTTCTCAAAACAAACAGCTACAACAAATTTGCATTGCAAGTGTGCACTAAGGGACGCTGTTGGTCTCGACAGTCGGAAGCCGCTTGTGTATGCAAGCGGCTGAAGAAGACCTGTCTCCCATTCAGATTAAGCACGCCACATTTATTTTCATTACTGGCAGATGACAGTTGTTCACCCAAGATGCAGGATTGATTAGGAAACCCTGTTTTGTACACAGCTGCAGGGAATAAACACAAAAATGTAAAAGTACGAAGATCGGATCCATCAGGCAAATGAAGATGGACAAATATTGAAGGGGCATGGACGGGCCAAATTGATTAGCAGATGACAGCCTTGTGAAGCAAAAAGAATCCTTCCAAGGTGTCTGTCTTTTTTTACATCCATCTCATGCCGCCTGTATTACATTTCTTTCTGACAATATTGTTAGAACAGGATGTTTTGTTGGACTCTCAGGGCAAATAACCTGTAGAAGAAGCTAAAAAAAACGCTTTAAAAGCTGCCCGAGTCCATATTGAATGTAAATTTACAGCCTCGCCCGCTGTGAGAAGTGATTTTAACTATCAACCTGTAATAGAGATTTAGACGTCGCCTGAGCTCTCTTTCATGCAGTCATCCTTTGACCTTGGTGTTTTAAACTACCTGTAATATAACCTGTCATGACTAAGAGGTGATGATATAATCTAGGTGTCCTTCTCCCACCAGCATGGTGATAACTTCTCCAGCTTCCCACAGCTTTTTTTATATATATATATATTATATTGTTCACATCCAAGGCCAGAGCCTGTTAATTCTGTTTTACGGCCAGAATGGAGGACTCTAATGTTCAATTTCCATGATCACTTCATTCTGTAAAAGCCTGTAAAATACATCCAATGCTAGAAAGTGAGATTTTTATTAGGATGTTTTCCTCAAAGTAAAATATCACCAACTTGTAATAATGCACTTTCTGTCAGAGGCTACAAAACAGGATGGAGTTTAGACAGAATTGTGCTGCTCGACATAAAAGTGAAATATTTAAGTATAAATCAGCTACTCGAGCTTCAAATGAACTGCAGTTATTCATTTTCAAGGTTATTAAAACAATGCTGGTGTTGATGATTTAACTGCTGCCAAGTCTCGTAGGCGTCAGCTTTAAGACCAACACTGACGTACAGTCTAACAGCAAAAGAGAAAAAAAGCCTGAACCATAAGGGGCTGTTTGTGATCATTTTCCAATTAAATGTCTTTTCCTCTCCATTATGAAATGGATATAAATTCTTTGATGCAAACTTACTCTGCCAGAAAAAAATGGTCTCCAGTAAATGAGCCCAGTTGGAGCAACAAGGCTCATTTACTGGCCTTAATGAATGACCTATTGAAATTGATTGGCACTGATCGTTGCTGAATATGTTTTCTCTGGGAAATCTTCAAACACTTTTCTGCCTTACCTTCCAAGCTACGGCTGTCAGCTCAAGTCACATCAGCGGTTTAATGTAAGGAGAAATGCACAAGGAGTTATGCGTGATGTCTGTTTTTTCCTGCCTTGGAGGAAGAGTGGGAGAGGACAATGGAGAGACAACAGTTGTCAGCTATCAGCACGGTTCAGTGGCAAGTTGGAAAATAAGTTTCCTTGTAACTTTAAGTTATGGGTGGGTTAGGGTTATTCAATTCCGGAATTTGAGTAAATAAGGGATCTTATGATACTAAACCTCGTTTCCTAGCCAAAGTTAAAGGAGCAATATGTCACTCTGACACCTAGTGTTTACAACAGGTACTGCAGTCAAAATTCAAAACATTGGAGAGAGCAGTCTCCGCCCGACTCCTCTTCTCTGGAGTCGATGTGCACGCATGTTGCCATGTCCCGGACACTGAAGCTTCATTATTAAACCAGCTCTGCATCGGCCTATTTTTCACAAGTATCTCCATTATCTAGCCAACATTAGTTTTATCACGTTTCATCGTCGAGCTCATTAGAAAAATGCCTAGGCTTTTTAGCTAGTTTAGAATCAGATATCTGAGCTAGTTCACTTGCCTGCTTTCATCGCTGTAACACCTGCTGGTTTGCTGTTTGTCTGGCAAAACAAGCGATGTGCGGGGGTGTCTTTAAACCGCCTATCTTCTCTGGTCAAGGCAAAAAACTAACCATATGCAACGGAATCGAAACTAAGGAGGAGGACATACTGACTGCTGCATTGTTGAGGAAGAAACCAGCACTTCATCATAGCATGTTTCTTTAATGTCTGATCATATAGAAAGACATTTTTTTTTCCATTTATTTCAATAGATATCTTACAGATTGGAGCTTTAAGGTGTTAACTAAGATGATGTTTTTCTCTTCTGCTACACGGTATGGATTGCAGGTTCAGTTTGTGAGTTTTAACAGAAAAATTTCTCTGCCTTGCATTGTGTACTAGCACAACATTTTGACAGAGCATCCCTAACAAACAACTCTTTAAATGTTTGTGCAACAAAAACCACTATCCTGCCTCTCGCCTTCAGACATCATTTTGTTTTCATAGCTACATTTTTCCTTCTGTAGATCAACATCCTCAGAAGCAGCTCGTGCAACCTAAAACAGCAACTTTATGGGTTACCATCTGTGCATGTTAACACAGATTTTAAGGGAAAATGAAAAAGTACGAGTATTCAAAAAGAGGAAGGAAGAAATGTTTTCCCACCCTCTGTGTGTCTCTTCATATTCTGTGCTGTAAAAAGCTTTGAACTAATTCATTCAGATTAATTAGTACACATATTAAGATACACTGCCCATTGGTATAGCTAGAGGACAAACTTAAAGCATTTGACTTTTCTGAAACAAAATAAAAAAGAAACGTCTCAGTTCTAATATCCGACTGTGACACTCACAAGTTTAGCTTTGTCTTTTCTGGTGTTGGAATGCCTTTTCAACAGAGCACAGATTGGTTTCAGAACCCATTTGGCTGCTGAATTTGAATCAACAGATTGAAGTTAGCAGAAAAGATGCCTCTTAACTGATCTGCAGGAGGAAAAAAATAGAAACAATGGCAATGAAATGATCTCAAAAGGCAGGGTGTTACACTTTAATCCTGTTGCAGCATTCCTGCAAACGATGGCAACAACTGAACGTGTTTTTTTTGGTTTAGCCGTGTTTGAGGCCTTGAGCTAGTACACAGCACATGTCGGATCTGGAAATGCTGCTGAAGGTTTCTACAAAAAAACAAAACTGCTTTAACACTGAATTTTTGTAAAAAGAAACATAAAACAAGCGTTAACAGGGGTGCAAATAAAGGACGGCGGTGTGATTTTAATGATGAATGAGATTATTTACCGCCTCAGATGTCACATTTTCATCGCTTTCTTCTGTTTTTCCCCTTCAAGTTGAATTGGTCACACGTTTCATTAGCATGACGATGATTTCCACATTTAGCTCTGTTTGACTCGGCTTGATGATGCATGCTGTCTTGGAAACTAATGAAGGCCTTGTCTGCCCACAGGAACCACGGTAGTGCAAGTGGCAGCCACAGATGCAGATGACCCAACATATGGGAACAGTGCCAGAGTGATCTACAGCATCATCCACGGACAGCCGTACTTCTCAGTGGAGCCAAAGACAGGTGAGTACGACGTCTGTGAAAGTGGAGGTGACCATTGTTCAGATATGGCCACATTGTGTCCAAATTTAGACCCCAGAAAACAATAAGTAAGCCCCCCACCATGAAAAAACTGATGAGCTGCTGCAAGTTGGAGCATTTTTAAATTTAATTTGAAAGCTATTTTACATTTCTTGTCTTTGTCTTTGATGTCATGTAAAAAGTAAACGTATTAGAATTTGTCAAATCACTGGGGACCCCAATCACCAAAATCCGTCTCATTATGTAATATGTGTCGTAAGCATCGCAAAAATATTAGCAGACACATTTAACCAATTTTGTCATGTAAGTATTTAGTAAATGTCCTGAAGTCCATCTTGATTCAGGCTTGGTTATGTGTGGATATTTATTTCTTTAATTGAGTCTTTCATTGAAAGTCCCATGGCTGCTTTTCATTCATCCATCTTTACAAAATTCACCAAATGGAATTCACGGTAAAATGAGTTGAGGGGCACCGATAGCCTAGTGGTTGGTGCACGCGCCACATATACGGAGGCTGCTGTCCTCCAAGCGGACAGCCCGGGTTGAATCTGACTCAGGCTCCTTTCCTGCACGTCATTCCCCACTCTCTCTCTCTCTCTCTCCCCAATTTCTGACTCTACCCCTGACAGTCCTGTCTCTAATAAAGGCATACAAATTCCCCAAAAATAAATCTTTAAAAAAATGGGTTTGGGGTTTTATCTAGGTTTCTATGTCTTTGTATTTTCACTTATTCAGGCCAAACTTCCAAAGGCTTAATGAAAATGAAAGATGTCTTTGACAATGACGGTCGTTCAAACCATCCCACTCAAAGACTTCATGTTGAGCTTCTGAGTTACCCAGCTTTAGAGATGATACCTTGTAATAATTAAACACTTTTTAGTAACACACTTTAATGTGAAACAAATCTCATAAGTGCTACAGAAGTGATGATCATACATTTGAAGTATAGGGGAAGGCAGAAATAATCAGACAATCAGGAAACAGTGTTATTAACCACCAGGCCAAATTTCAGTAGTGAAAAAAAGTGTTAAGTTTAAATAATTAAGTTTTAAATAATGAAAACATCTCTGCTGTGGGATGCCATGGGAGTCTCCGTTGAGCAGTAACCACGCCTACTCGAGCGATGGACACGCCTCTCTCAACTGTCAAAAACTGCTGACAGTGGAGGGTTCATATGGCCTTCCTATTGGACCGTTCCAGCCCTGCATGTTTGAGCACCCAGAGCCTGAGGACTCTGAACTCCGTGAAAACAGGCCGAGCTCTCTGGCATCCATGAAAGATACACCTGCAGAATGGAGGCATAGCAATTTTTTGACCCCGCTCTCCAACAGTCTAAGGGTCTGTGTCCACCTGGTGTTTTAAGCCAGCATCTTTTTTAAATTTTTTATTTTTTTATGGTTCCCAATGAGGAGAGAACGTTTGCAGCAGCAGGCCGCCGCCCCCGGAGATTAGAAGCAGCGTTCTTTATCCGAGAGATTCTAGTTGAAGATCTTTCAACTTCTCAAAAGGGCGCTGTTTGACGTCACCGGCGTTCATTCCGTGTCTTTTCTGTCTGAACGGAGCCATTATAGCATGGCCGTCATCACTACTAAGCTGATCATCCAGACAAAGGAGAAGGGTAAACATCCTCCGTTAGATGCTCTTAAAGGGGGGGGGGAACGGAGCAGCGTCGGTCACACAGCAGCCATTGTCAAGAGACTCATGTAATAGCGACAAATACGTGCAACGCTTTTATTCAAAGCACACAAGTGCTTCATCTGCCCGGGAGAACGCCATGTGGCCACGCCCTAAAGCCTTCAGATTTAGGACATCAATGAATTGAGAGTTGTCCTTCCTTTACTCATACAAAACAACGGCACATTGTAAGAATAAAACTCTTGTGCATATCAAGCTGTCTGGTACAACTGAGCACAGGAAACGACATCAGCAATAACACGTACTTTAATTAAGATCTCTATAATGATGTATTTAAAAAAAAACCTGAACATTACACATCATGAGACTACCAGTTGGATACATTGTATTAGCTGTAACAGGTGCAGCTAATGAAGTGGCCGCTGATTGACTCCCTCGAGTCAGTCGCTTTAAGAACATGTTAATTATGTGAGCTGACTGAGAGCCAGAGGAAGGCGAGAGAACAAGCTAACAAACATGTCTACCCGTGAGTGTGTGCTATTTTAATGTAACAATTGAAGTGTTTGTCAGTGAAAAGATCTAATATGATGTAGCAGTAGCTCATACAGTACCTTATAAATAAATCAATTTTTTTTTACCACTACATTTTCTGCAAATAATCTGAGTGAGAGAGCAGTGCTTTTGAATTTATTGCAATAAATTCAAACTTTTTTGATGTGTTTACTACGGACGTTTATTTTGCTGTAATGATAAGATTGCAATTTATCGTGTAGCCCTAATCTAAAGTAGGACTATACAGTATGTGCAAAAGAAACTCAGCATGGGGTGGTATTTTACTGCTTACAAATTCAACTTTTCATTAGTTTGTATTATGCTCTATTTCAAAATGCAACAGTATTTTCTGTACTAGAAAAAAAACAACAACCTGGACTTAAACACTTTGAAGCTGATGATGACGTTTTCATTTTGCTATCAACAAATTACGGCACTGTTTAAAGAACGAAGCAGAAAACCAAATTCTATTACTTATCATCACTCGGGGCTGCGGAGATAACAGCATATTGGAGAAAAGTTTAACAAAAGCCTGAGCAAAAAAAAAAAAGGGCCTCAAATAAACTGCGAGATAAGATGCGAGGTAGTTTGTTGACTTGTGGGGCGTTTTATCCTGAGAAGTGCAGCGGCAGCCCCTCGCTACATCTTCATAGCCGGCTCATTAGACACTGCCCTGCCGAGGCTCGGCTACTTCATGCAAAGCACTCTTGCAAGAAAAGAGAAAAATATGGGCTATCCCATAATATTAGGCTTCATCCCCCTGCTTCGGGAGCAACACATACACACATGCTGGTATTTTATGAATGTAGTTTTAATTCATGAACTGGTGGGAGCCACTGCAATGCAGGGATTTATGTCGTTTATTTTTCACAGTCAGGCAGACAGAACTAAGAGGAATGCTCAACGACAACAAAAAACTCTACTGTGACCTGTTAGGTTCTCTGTAAACATTCAATAAGCCTAACCAGCGGAAGAAAATGGAGTATTCAAGAAAAATGAATGCACATGGCAAGAAAGGAAATGACTTCTCACTGTGCAGGCATTATGGATGTGCTGTTAGAGGAGGAAAAGATGTAGTGAGCATCAAAACTCCAGCACACTAAGCTATGGAGTCTGCACACTATCACAGCATTTCTGTGTTGTTTTTCACTTTCTAGAGACATTGAGCTAATGAAGCCTCCTGCTGCAGCTTTCATTAGGGAACATTTCCATGTTTCCATGTTTGGGGGTGAACATTTACATGTTTTATCCACCCTAAATGAAAAGGTTCCTCGTGGATACTCTTTAAGCTCCGACAGTTCCTCTGGGAGGTCGGCGAGGCTGTAAATCTTTGATATTCTCGGAAGCTGAAACTTCTGTGGGCTAATTAATGAGTTAAAATGCTGCAATCACCTTCCCTAAGATGAGTTTGGGGCGGGAACTTGGGAATTTGTGCGCCAGTGTTTTTCTCGGTTCCTTTTTTTTTTTTTTTCGGGGAATTTAATTCAGCTCATGACCAAGCACCTGAACATCTAAGGATGTTGGGTAATTTTTTTGTCAACATTTGGGCCACATAGAAGCTTGCACTTTTAGTCCATGTAAAGCTCAAGACAGTCCACCGAATCTATGGCTATTTATACTCGTGGTTGCATCTGAAAACATTTAGCACAATAGCATTTAGATCAGCATCTACAACAGCCAACAGTGTTGAGTGTGAGAATATATCACAGTCTGCTTGTAGGCCCTCCTCATCTTGGTGAGACATCAAACTTAAAGCAAGTGTTTCATCGAAAGCAACATTTTCACTTTTATTTTCTTTTCGATATCATAATGAATACTTAGAAACGTCCCTTTTTTTGCCTTTGCTGGGCTGGTAAAGGCGATAAAGAATTCATTAAATGTAGTGAAGTGTAGGCTGGTTTATTAATCTGTCAAACAGTGGCACACACCCTCAGACACACACACAAACCCTCAGACACACACACCTAAATGTGCACTCAGATAGAGCCCTTGGGCCCCGGCCAGCTCCTCAGCTCTCTGCTTCCCATCGCTGCCCGACCACGCCTGATTATACTTGGCTCTGTTTCCGCCCACGTAGAAGGTGATTGGATCTCATGGTTATGAGATGCAATATCGGAGTCAGAATTGAAGAGCTTGGACGGCTGTCAGAGAGGTGTGACTCCATGTGGGGCTCGATGCAGGGAAGCATGAAGACATGTTCTCTTGTTTGACAGGGCTAACCTTAATAACAACCCGGTGTAAAACAACGGCTTACAGGGCAGTAACTTGTGCGTCGAGGGGAGAACCTGCAGGGCTTTATAGCAGCATCGTTACTTCTGTGAATCCTCTCTTGGTTTGAAGCTGGCTTTTGATAGATTCCTTTTCCCCTCTATATGGCTCCCTTAAAAAGTACGAGGCACAACTGTAATTGGGAGAAATATTAGGAAGTGCTCACACCGTTACCTTCATCTTCATCTTAATTTAGTCGCCTTTCAAGAAGAACTACCTTTGGGAAATAAAAATTGATACCACTAAAAATGCTCGGCTGGTTTTCTTAGAGAAAAATCCTGTGTTGTCATCAACTTTGAAACTGTAGCACCTTTTACAAACTTGCCACCTTTTGTTTTTTAGTTGTCTATTTGCTTTTTGTTTCTTTGACATCTTAAGAATAAACTGTTCCAGCCATGTTATCCTCATAACTTTGAAACTTTGGGGGATTCATTGCCACATGATACGTCCTAATATCTGCTACTTCCTATTCGAAGATAAATTAAAATTCCGATCACGAATCACTTAAAGGATTGGCTCATTTATCA